TCGGTATATTCCATTGTGTGAGACTCTAGTTCTTCGATTAAATTGGATCGAATTTTGAACCATTCGTCCTCCTTAAAACCGAGACAGAGAGCTACGGCTCGAAATCCACAGTTTCCGTCAGATTTCACATCTTGCACTTGCATGATAAAAGGATGGAATATAACGGAAGTTGAAGCATATATGGATGGTAAAAGTGTCTATCACCTGAAGTTGGTGCAGCTGAACAACTATTCCGAGCTTGTTCTTGAAATTGAATATTATTTGGCTCGGCTTTAGTTTTTCTGAGAGATAGAGTTCTTATGAGAGATTTGTTTTTTGAAGTGGGACGCCCACGAACATTTATTTGCACGGGTGGCTCACGGATCGAAGTTGTAGATGGCGCGATCAACTCCCTCAACTTTCTCAATATGTTGAATTTACCGGTTCTTGATTGTTTCTTGAACTGATCCTTAAACATATGAAGCTCATGCTCAACACAAAAAATCTTCATTGGTTAGAGAGATGGAAGATGATAAGTCGAGCTTCCTCCAAAAGATATCAATCGAATCAAGTGGGATAGGCTTACCACAGTTAAAATATGTTACCTGCTCGTGTGCACATGGAAGCCCGCAACTTGTTCGCAATCGACATCCACAATTTTCAAAAGTAATCCCGCCAGCCCGTGACCTCTCAAACTCATTAAAAATGAGATTCAGTGCATGAATAGACACAAATCCTCGCAATTCTTGAAAATGTGACGTGTTGAACCGATGTCGAATCAAAATTTTGCTTTGTTCAAGACTTGCTTTGATGGATGTGTCCTGTGACTGAATGACTCTGTCGATATAAACCAATGATGTCTCCAAATCTGACTGCGATGACTCCAAGTATTTTTTTAACTTGGCATGCTGACTCTCAACTCTGTTCGTGTGTGATTTCCAAAATTGAGATATCGATCAGTCCAAACAGATACAAACATTTCTTTATAGGGTTGCAGCCAATTATCATCAATATAACCAAAAACACCTGAAAATGTGAATAATTGAAGAAATAATTACAGTAGTTGAACAAATATGCCTTGTTAAAAAAAAATATTAAAATATACATCGAATAATACCTGGAAAGTCAACCAAAACTGCTTGTATTTGAGCTAAATGGAACATATATGATTCATGAGTCTGAGACTCAACTAATGCGTTCCATGATTTGTAGAATAAATCCCAATGATGGTTTGAGGGATCGATGCCCTGCACTTCTCAAAATACTTCTATAGATGTGCCATCTACAAAGTAATCCTTTAGCATCCGGATACACATTTTTACATGCTTTCATCAATGCCAACTCTCGATCCGTGACGATAACACGCGGGGTAATGCATCCCTCAATTGTGGCTTTGAGACAATTTAATGCCCAAGTATAATTGGACTCATTCTCTTTGTGCATGAAGGCGAACGCTATGCAAAATGTCATGTTGGTCGAAGTTACACCAACCATTTCGACGAGAGGCATCGAGTACCTATTTGTCTTATAGGTTGCATCTATCAACAGGACATGTGGAAATGCACGCCACTTCTCCATAGATTTAGGATGAACGAAGAATAAATCTTCTAACTCATCTGTTGCATTATTAGTTCGACTCTCATGCACATAACCATTGTTATGTAAAAAAGACATAACAACTTGCATTTGAGTTTTACCTGCATTATCCATCATCCGGAATTTTTTGGCGTGCATTGTATATGGTTTTTGTGATGGAAACATTATCCGGATTTTGCATCTTCACCGACGTTAAAATATCTCGTGGTTTCACATGCATCGCTGACAAATTTTCCCCAATTCGACTTCATTTCCTGATAATCGCCTTGCATAAGGTGACCTTCAAGGTGCAATGCAGGATCATGATTATGGACTCCGCATATTACCCTAACCCTCCAGCAACCATCAACACGTATGTATTTCCCCTCCAATTGGAATGGACAATCAATTTTTCTGTACCCGTGTTTTTAGATGAGATTTTTTTTGGCACGTAAGTACCACCACGGTCACACTGAAATATAACTGTAGGACTTTTATTCCGGGACCTTTTAATCACAATAACATAACCGAGATCCCGACTCTACTTTGAACCCATTCAATTAAATCTTCGCGAGACATGAATGCCTAATAAAAAAATTATTTGTATCAATAATAAAAATATCTAATTAATTAATTATAATCATAAGTATACGTACTAATTAATAATCATAATAATAATTACATGCATGTATACCAACAAATTAAAAAAAAACAAACAAAAAAACAAAAACAGAAATTAAGTATACGTACTAATTAATAATAATAATAATAATAATAATAATAATAATAATAATAATATTAATAATTACATGCTTACAATAATAATAAGTATGCGTATGAATTTTGTTTACCGTTTCTGTAGACAATTCGCATGCAACCTCGAGATTTAGTTCACTTGATCATCATCTTTAGTTCTATTGTCATCATAAATTTCGATTGCATTTTCGTCCTAAACAAACAAACAAATAACAACTCTTAATATATAAAGACAAAATAATATATTCAATATTGATATATTAAAGCAATGAATTTCTAATCAAAATAAATATACATATCTAAATTTCTAAATAAATATATAAAAGCAATGAATATATAAATAATACGTAATATTCAATTTACTAAGTTCACACACACACACATATATATCTATATATATATATATATATATATGAAATTAATGAACATATATGAAAGCAATGAACTTAAATTTCTAAATAATATATGAAAGCAATGAACTTAAATTTTTAAATAATATATAAAAGCAATGAACAAATATACATAAGTTCAATTGTAACATTTCAGTAACAATTCAAATAAAAAAAAAAATTAAAATACCTCGTAATGTTGTTGATTTTGATTTGGACCATTGTAACTAAGAAATTGGCTTTGATTTTGATCGTTGTAGCTAAACAAAATTATCTATCCAACCGTCCATCACACACACACGAATTTTGATTTTGATTTTGATTGTATGACATGTACATCACACACACACACCACATATATATAGAGCCATTTAAGTCTTTTGGATTCCTTGCCATTCATTCTACACGTAATTTCATTTCACTAACAACAATATTAATAAAAAATATGAATTGAAATTGTAAATTTACAAAATATATGTATTAATATTATCAAGTTCAAAAAACTATCTATTGAAATCATAAATTTAAAATAAACATATATCGAAAAACAAAAAAATGGACCAGGAAGGCAAGGAGGCAGAAAAAAAAAAAAAAAAAAGCAGGAGCAGCTATTGTGTGGACCTGTTCAGCTCGCCACGAGGGCTGCTCCTTGGCCATTTTTTTTTTTTGTTCCTCTTTATCCTTCATGTGTCTTACCTATTATTGACCACTTTGAACAAATAGCCTAATGGTGGTCAAAATGCTATTTGCACCACCCTATTAAATTTACAATTATGATCAAAATGTAAAAAAAAAAAAAAAAAAAAAAAAAAAAAAAAACCCATTTTTTTTTTTTCTGATTTTTTTTGTTTTCGATATATGTTTATTTTAAATTTATGATTTCAATAGATAGTTTTTTGAACTTGATAATTTTAATACATATATTTTGTAAATTTACAATTTCAATTCATATTTTTTAGTTAATATTGTTGTTAGTGAAATGAAATTACGTGTAGAATGAATGGCAAGGAATCCAAAAGACTTAAATGGCTCTATATATATGTGGTGTGTGTGTGTGATGTACATGTCATACAATCAAAATCAAAATCAAAATTCGTGTGTGTGTGATGGACGGTTGGATAGATAATTTGTTTAGCTACAACGATCAAAATCAAAGCCAATTTCTTAGTTACAATGGTCCAAATCAAAATCAACAACATTACGAGGTATTTTAATTTTTTTTTATTTGAATTGTTACTGAAATGTTACAATTGAACTTATGTATATTTGTTTCATTGCTTTTATATATTATTTAAAAATTTAAGTTCATTGCTTTCATATATTATTTAGAAATTTAAGTTCATTGCTTTCATATATGTTCATTAATTTCATATATATATATATATATATAGATATATATGTGTGTGTGTGTGAACTTAGTAAATTGAATATTACGTATTATTTATATATTCATTGCTTTTATATATTATTTAGAAATTTAGATATGTATATTTATTTTTGATTAGAAATTCATTGCTTTAATATATCAATATTGAATATATTATTTTGTCTTTATATATTAAGAGTTGTTATTTGTTTGTTTGTTTAGACGAAAATGCAATCGAAATTTATGATGACAATAGAACTAAAGATGATGATCAAGTGAACCTAAATCTCGAGGTTGCATGCGAATTGTCTACAGAAACGGTAAACAAAATTCATACGCATACTTATTATTATTGTAAGCATGTAATTATTAATATTATTATTATTATTATTATTATTATTATTATTATTATTATTAATTAGTACGTATACTTAATTTCTGTTTTTGTTTTTGTTTGTTTGTTTTTTTTTAATTTGTTGGTATACATGCATGTAATTATTATTATGATTATTAATTAGTACGTATACTTATGATTATAATTAATTAATTAGGTATTTTTATTATTGATACAAATAATTTTTTATTAGGCATTCATGTCTCGCGAAGATTTAATTGAATGGGTTCAAAGTAGAGGTCGGGATCTCGGTTATGTTATTGTGATTAAAAGGTCCCGGAATAAAAGTCCTACAGTTATATTTCAGTGTGACCGTGGTGGTACTTACGTGCAAAAAAAAATCTCATCTAAAAACACGGGTACAAGAAAAATTGATTGTCCATTCCAATTGGAGGGGAAATACATACGTGTTGATGGTTGCTGGAGGGTTAGGGTAATATGCGGAGTCCATAATCATGAGCCTGCATTGCACCTTGAAGGTCACCCTTATGCAAGGCGATTATCAGGAAATGAAGTCGAATTGGTGGAAAATTTGTCAGCGATGCATGTGAAACCACGAGATATTTTAACGTCGGTGAAGATGCAAAATCCGGATAATGTTTCCATCACAAAAACCATATACAATGCACGCCAAAAATTCCGGATGATGGATAATGCAGGTAAAACTCAAATGCAAGTTGTTATGTCTTTTTTACATAACAATGGTTATGTGCATGAGAGTCGAACTAATAATGCAACAGATGAGTTAGAAGATTTATTCTTCGTTCATCCTAAATCTATGGAGAAGTGGCGTGCATTTCCACATGTCCTGTTGATAGATGCAACCTATAAGACAAATAGGTACTCGATGCCTCTCGTCGAAATGGTTGGTGTAACTTCGACCAACATGACATTTTGCATAGCGTTCGCCTTCATGCACAAAGAGAATGAGTCCAATTATACTTGGGCATTAAATTGTCTCAAAGCCACAATTGAGGGATGCATTACCCGCGTGTTATCGTCACGGATCGAGAGTTGGCATTGATGAAAGCATGTAAAAATGTGTATCCGGATGCTAAAGGATTACTTTGTAGATGGCACATCTATAGAAGTATTTTGAGAAAGTGCAGGGCATCGATCCCCTCAAACCATCATTGGGATTTATTCTACAAATCATGGAACGCATTAGTTGAGTCTCAGACTCATGAATCATATATGTTCCATTTAGCTCAAATACAAGCAGTTTTGGTTGACTTTCCAGGTATTATTCGATGTATATTTTAATATTTTTTTTAACAAGGCATATTTGTTCAACTACTGTAATTATTTCTTCAATTATTCACATTTTCAGGTGTTTTTGGTTATATTGATGATAATTGGCTGCAACCGTATAAAGAAATGTTTGTATCTGTTTGGACTGATCGATATCTCAATTTTGGAAATCACACCACGAACAGAGTTGAGAGTCAGCATGCCAAGTTAAAAAAATACTTGGAGTCATCGCAGTCAGATTTGGAGACATCATTGGTTTATATCGACAGAGTCATTCAGTCACAGGACACATCCATCAAAGCAAGTCTTGAACAAAGCAAAATTTTGATTCGACATCGGTTCAACACGTCACATTTTCAAGAATTGCGAGGATTTGTGTCTATTCATGCACTGAATCTCATTTTTAATGAGTTTGAGAGGTCACGGGCTGGCGGGATTACTTTTGAAAATTGTGGATGTCGATTGCGAACAAGTTGCGGGCTTCCATGTGCACACGAGCAGGTAACATATTTTAACTGTGGTAAGCCTATCCCACTTGATTCGATTGATATCTTTTGGAGGAAGCTCGACTTATCATCTTCCATCTCTCTAACCAATGAAGATTTTGGTGTTGAGCATGAGCTTCATATGTTTAAGGATCAGTTCAAGAAACAATCAAGAACCGGTAAATTCAACATATTGAGAAAGTTGAGGGAGTTGATCGCGCCATCTACAACTTCGATCCGTGAGCCACCCGTGCAAATAAATTCGTGGGCGTCCCACTTCAAAAAACAAATCTCTCATAAGAACTCTATCTCTCAGAAAAACTAAAGCCGAGCCAAATAATATTCAATTTCAAGAACAAGCTCGGAATAGTTGTTCAGCTGCACCAACTTCAGGTGATAGACACTTTTACCATCCATATATGCTTCAACTTCCGGTTATATTCCATCCTTTTATCATGCAAGTGCAAGATGTGAAATCTGACGGAAACTGTGGATTTCGAGCCGTAGCTCTCTGTCTCGGTTTTAAGGAGGACGAATGGTTCAAAATTCGATCCAATTTAATCGAAGAACTAGAGTCTCACACAATGGAATATACCGATATGTTGGAACTCAAGGATGGTATAATGCCTATAACATGTTGAATTTTTTTGCACAAGATCGGTGTGCACCAGTTGAGCACTGGATGACTATGCCGGAGATGGTGTACTAATTGCTTCCCGATACAATGTGATACTACATGTTTTGAGTATGGCCGGCAGTACAACATATTTACCACTTCGATCTAGCCCACCACCTTGGTACGAGCATGTAGCAATAACCCTTGGTTATGTTAATAATAACCATTATGTCAAGGTAACATTGACAGGAGGGTACCCAATGCCTACAATTGCTCCACAATGGGCTTATTTTAGATATGATTGTGCAAATGCATGGATGACTCCATATATGAATAGGATTGAAAGTTACAATGAGCATGTACGCTCTAATTGTACTCGGAAAATGTTATATTAGATTGAAATTGAATGAATTTATTTTTTATTTTATTTTTATTGTGAAGTTAAATATATTTTACAATTTTTAGCGATTCAAATTTTATTTATTATATCTCTATAAAAAAATAAAATAATGAATACAACAAATTTAAGTTATAAAAAATATTAAAATAACAAAATTAATCATTATTTGAATTTAAAAATTAAACCATAAACAAAAACAAGTATTGAAAATAGAAAGTTAAAAAAATTATATTGAACAAAAAAACAAGTATTGAAAATAAAATTTAAAAACATATGTATTGAAAATAAAAATTTTAAAAATAATTACACAAATAATTAAAAAAAAAAAAAGGCGATCATTTTTTTTTTTAATGTTTATTGTTAAAAAATAATAAATAATAAATGTTACCACCTACTTTGACTACATTTATTTGCACCACCTACTTTGGTATTTGCACCATTTATTTGACCTATTAAATAGGTGGGTGCAAATAGTAAATAGGGTGGTGCAAATAAAACTTCCCTTTATTAATCCTCAGTCAAAAAGAGGACGGTGCCTAAAAATATGAACAATCGAGAACATAATCATTTACAGCGTGATTTACGTACGGGTGATTAAAAGTACGATTGGGATTGATGATTCCCCCCCTTCACAAATCACAATGTAAGGATTCAAAGTATCCAAGACAAAAGGCCCGGAACGGTCCTTTTTAGGCGCCATTCTCGTGCTGTGAACCGTAATCAACTGCAGAAGAAACGCCTCGCCGACCGCCACCGACACTGGATCGGAGATTCTCCTTCTTGCTCTGCCCCTATTCTCTCCGGTATTCTATGTAGATTTCTACTTTTTCGGCTGTTGAGTTTTTTTTTCTGTGTGTGAAATTATGCATGCCACTGTTCGACGAAATGGCCCAGTGGGGACTGCTATGCTTGTCGACTAGTTTGAACTTCCCACGTGTTAGTGTGGTCTGAAGTTTGATCTTCTTGGTGAATTTTTTTGCTCATGGTAGAATTTATAGGCGTTAAACTGCTCAGTCTGAGCTTGCTAGAGTGTAAAATTCCAGGTACGGAGCTGAGGTCCAGCATTGTCGTCTGAAACCGAGCTGAGTATTCGCTGGTGTGCTCTCCCCTGCTCTCAGTCATGTTCTTATGATGATATAGTTTAAACTGGTTAATGCGCCTTACTGAGAGGTCTGGGTTATGCCCAAAATTCAGCGTTTGGAGATGATGAACTTGGGGAGTGGAAGCTATGGTAGAAAGGCTTTTGAGACTTTGGGTGAGTCTGATGGGTACCAAACTCACCACCACCACCACCATAAGACTCACCATTTTCATCACTTACCTTATGAAGTTCTTTTGCTTGTGCTCATATTCTGTGCTGTTAGCCTTTCCACTCTTGTACTTTATCACTGGTCATACTATATACATTTGTCTCCAAGTTCTCTTGGTCATGTATATTCGCCAAATGAGGCTCACGGCGATCTATACTCAATGGTAAGTAATGTATCCTTCTTTAATTATAGCTTTCTATTTTTGTGTTTTATACAGAATGCTAGCCTGCTAGGTGTACTTCCACAAATTCCTGGCCTCAGAACTTGAATTTGTTTGAATTACGATCTTGTGTAATTGTGTTCTAGATATGCATTTGAAGTGCAAAGCATGTGGAGGTTTCCATTCTTCACTGTTTTAGTGTCAAAGGCTAACTGGTAAACTTTGATGGATGAGGCATTTTATTATGGTAGCAACTAGAAAAGCAAAAAGTTTCACCGGCCCTGGAATTATGAACATTTTAAGTACTGTCTTTAGTTTCTAGGATCATTTCATTAGGATTTTCTCTGGGGTCCTTACTTCTATGGAATTTTCCCCTTTTCAGATTGTATTACATATATGAGCGCTTTTACCCGTTGATGGTGTATACTCTTTAAGAAAAATTGGAATTGTTCAACTCTTTAGCTCATTAATTGATCTAAAATAGGAATCTTTTACAAAAGGAGTTTGGTATTACCACTTTTACATTAGATTCATCATGAACAGATGAACTTGCCATTGTAAAACACTTCCAAAAGTGAGAATGAAATGTGTTCTGAATAAAGTTTAAGTATATTAGTCCTTTATAGTAGCTTAACGAAAGTTCAATAGTGGCATGCTTGCTCTTCTATCAGTCTAATTATGGGCTTATTTTTGCGCATGCAAGGCAGGGGAAGGCAATGACTTGGAGAAATTATTGAAAAAGACAGCTTTTGGTGATAGAACTGTTATCATTACAACTTTAAATGCAGCATGGACATCTCCAAACTCTGTTTTTTGATCTCTTTCTAGAGAGCTTTGGAATTGGGAATCAAACACGCAATCTTTTTGAATCACCTACTTGTGGTGGCTCTAGACCAAAAAGCCTATTCTCGTTGTTTGAAAGTACACCCATACTGCTATGCTCTTCATACAAATGGCATGAATTTTACTGGTGAAGCTTATTTATGAGTTCACGGTATTTGGAAATGATGTGGCAAGGATTGATTTTCTTAGAACGGTTTTGGAGAAGGGATACAACTTTGTTTTTACGGTATGCCAAGTCATTTTATCATGCTCTTTACTTGGATGCACCTGAATAGACTTTTCTGTTATGTAATCGATATTAGGATAGTTTTAACACAACCTAGCAGTTCTTCTTTTTTGTTGGGTATTTTTGAAGTGGAATTTTCGAGATTTGAAACTATAGATATATTTCATGTAATCAGTAGGATCTTATGACTATGATCATTTGTAGGAAGCGCATACTAACTAGCTAACCATCTACTCTGATTTCAAGTTTTAACATATTGCTTTTCTCTCTCGTGTAGGACGCTGATATAATGTGCTTCGGAATCCATTTTTGCATTTCCACAAAGATGCTGAGTTCCAAATTGCCTGTGACCATTTCTACTCCAACTCATCGGACCTGAACAACCTGCCCAACGGAGGATTTAATTACGTAAAGTCAAGCAGGCGCACGATCCAGTTCTATAAATTCTGGTACAACGCAAAAGATTTCTTCCCAGGCAGCCACGACCAAGATGTACTTAACAGAATAAAGTTTCACCCCTACATCAGCACCGCACTTGGGCTGCAAATAAAGTTCTTGGACACAAAGTTCTATAGTGGATTCTGCCAGCCTTAGTGACGACGTTGATGCCGTTATCACAGTCCACGCGAATTGCTGTGTTGGTTTGGAAAACAAGATTCATGACCTTAGGCTAGTGCTTGATGTGTGGAAGGAGTACTTGTCTATGTCTGATGAAGAGAGGTCATTAGAGAATCTGTCTTGGGGTCTTCCTCAACTTTGTGGAAACATTGGAGGAGATACTGCACCAGACAATTCCACAACGTTGTAAGCAATGCTGCTCTGTATTTAGCTATATATATATATATAAGATAGATATATGTAATGATAGTATGTGTTGTATTGCTTGTGTTGCCCTCCTAAACTAGGATATCAAAGAAGCTTAATATTTATCTATATTTGCCTTAATATCAGCAGTAGGAGTATATTAAAATTTTGAATTTCATACACCTTCATTCAAATCTTCCATTGAATGTTTTAAGTTAACTATAAACATATATCTAAGTGTTTGTTGTATGTTAAATCAAAATTTTTTTTTCAGGTCTTTCATTTAGTGTATACAAGTAACATTTAAAATTAAATTATCATATTTTTTTTTATTAATTGTTCATAATTAACTAACACAAACACTCTTAATTGATAAAAGATTATATGGAGGTAAACCAAGTTAGATTGCTCTTAGCCAATTCAAACAATTGTTGGTACTTCAGAAGTTTTGAACCCTAAAAATTTTCAAAGATAACATGCCTACTACTTTAATGATGTGTATTACTATTGGTTTGAAAATATTATAGAATGAATATAATATAGAATGTTAACAACAATGGTGTCGTGGTGTAGTTGGTTATCACGTCAGTCTAACACACTGAAGGTCTCCGGTTCAAGTCCGGCGACGCCATTTTGAAATTTAGACAGCTTCTTTTTAGGGCAATACTAAGAATTCCTCTGCTAGGAATAGGATGTTTGAGTCTTTTGACGCGCCTGTACACGAGTTGCACTACTTAAAATGTTACCAGAAGCTATAAAATAATTGGAATAAATGTAATTATCAAACAAGGTCTGATGACTGATCCTCATTGTTTTTTTACAATAAAAACTCACAAATTCCTTCCAAGTTTACGGCAACAGCTCAGCTAGTGGAGTGCATAGCATGGCCTAACTGCCTTTAGCTTTTATGACGTCTTCATGCTTCTATGCTCTATCCATTGCCTAATACACAAGCACAGAACAGTGAGCTTTGATTATTTAAGAAAAGTAAATGATATAATAGAGGGTAAAATGGGACAAATAATAATAATAAAAATATTATTTTTCTTCGTCACATTTTACTTGTCTTATTTTTTTTTTTTAGTATGTTCCAAAATATTGTCTACTTTATTAAAATAAACACTACTAACTTTTTTTTTTTTCTAAACTAACCTTGTGGATTAAAAAATTATAATATAATAATACTTTATAATTTTATAGAGAAATGTGTCAATCCCATCCATTCGGTACTTCTTCTTCTTCAAT